CAGCGACACATACACAAACACAACACCGACACTACGCCCGACACTTCCTACTAACAACGGACTCTCCCCGCGGCGTATATATGCTTGACATGTACGGGTGAGCTCTTTGGTCGCTGATCGTTACCGATTTATAGAAGAAGACACAAAACACGGCACAATGGACAGCCGTATGTAAGAACTGTTTGCATTTAAAAAGTATGGAGGCAAAATCTGTAAAATTAGTCCTTTGCGAAAAACAACGATGTACTAACAATAAATCTTAAACCAGCCATGAAAAAGTTCAAATTTTTGTTATTTTCATGCTCGACCAGTGTTATGAGCAGTCCGACTCGCTTGAATCAGATAGAAAAACAAATGATTGGGATTTTATCAGTACGTATTCAATAATCAATGGAAATTATACTTGCGCAAGGCATTTTATATATATATTATTGTGAAGGACATCCGCCCAACACTTCACTTCCGCTAGTTGTAGTACGCGTACGGGAGCAGACGCCTTCACTTTTGGGGCGTTTTGATGCAGATTGTTGTCGTATGTCGTGTTGGTGTCGAGCGAAGCGGTGAGGCTTGGGAGTTTGTGACCGGTGTTATTCGTGATCATTAATGTGGCGCTGATGCGTTTTTTTTTTTTTTAATATTTTTATATAGTCACATTGAAAATTCACGAGCCCGTGGCACTGCATTATGCTAAAATCGCGAGCTCCTTCTCTGTTGACGTCGTTTTTCTGGTAGCACTCGTGGATACTGCAAGCGTTTAAACAGTGCACAGTCTCGCCCACATCCGCGGTGACGTAATCGACCTGTTGAAACTTATTGCTTGCGTCATTTTGGAGTACGCAAGGTAATTATCTCGCTGCTCTGGTTTCGGTTATAAAAGCAAGGCAAAACGCTCGTAGTTCCCGCCCTCAGTACACGTTGGACATCTTCCACACTTTCACACTGGATAACTGGATGAACGAGGATTTACATTTACTTCAGAGGTCACACTCGCCGCTTCCTCACCGTCGAGCAGCAGGATCAGCTGGCGACAAGCCGCGTATGAAAGGCTCGAGCATCAACAGCCCAAGTGCACTCGGTGCCGATGCGGGCGATGCGGGTTTCTGTCAACCGCTAGCCCAGCACAGACCGTGACCGTTCCAGCTCTTCGTCATGACGCGGTGTTGCAGAAAGCAGCGTATAATACCACTACACGGACCACCGAAGCGAACGCACTGTTATCGTAAATCTTGGCTTGTGATTGCGCCTAAATTTGTAAATAATCTTATTCTTTTTTCTGGAGACGCAAACGAAGGGCATAACAAAATCGTTTGCATATTCCGCATACCTCGCAAAAGCATCAGTCACCTTGCGAGAAGCGCAAAACACGGTGTCCGCACCGTCCTGACTTCCCAGTCTTTTACCTGCTTTAGAGCAGTTTGTACCTGTTAGTAGGTATGTCTACTGAAACTGCAACTTGAAACTTGGGGCAGTGCCAGAGGGAAAAGAGACAAATTCGGGCCTCTTCCCAATGTAAAGAAAGTTCTCTACGTAAAAAATTGGTCTCAGTTCATGCATCTGTGGGCAGGTAGAAAATCTTGCCCTAGTTTATTCACACCGCATGATGAGTGCAACAATCTCACACGAGTCACACGAGATTTACAGGAAAACATCGGTGGTGACTTAAGTTTCCCTGAAATTCTGTATAACCGGTCGTTTGCGGGACCGAATCATCTACTCGAGCGGTGTGCGTCGCTGTGCGAACACGTCGCTGTGCAAATGCAGTCTAACGACACGAAGCATAGAAACGGCAGATTTAGGGAAACTATCCGAAGTCCCTTGTTCAATTAAAACGACGTAATTTTGTTGAAAACGTCCGCAGCATTTTACTCACGGTATGCGTCGGGAATCTTCCACATTTTGAAACGGAACGAAGGAAGATTTACTTTTCAGAACGCTCGCTGCGTCCTCCCCGACCAGCTGGACCGGATCAGCTGACGACGACGGGGCTAAACCCGTCAAACGCAACCCCACAACAACCAATATGAGCTCCGCGTTAGTGCGGGTTTCTACCTACAAGCACCGCACCACACACCACGAACGTTTCGGCCCTTTCTCGCATCGCCGTGTTGACCCAAACAGAACGAGATCGCCGAAGAACGCAGCGCTGTCGTGAACCTTGGCTTGTGGTTGCGCACTCGTGGACCCTGTGACTCCCCTCGCTTTCAAAGCACACACGACGAATGGTACTTTCCGTCTTCCGGGAACATCACAGGGGCACTTCTCCGGTCACGTCTTCGCTATGTGCTCGCAAACTGCGAAGCTCTATGCGAAGCTTCTCGCGTCCCGTCAAACCAAAACAATAGCGGCTGCCAGAAATTTCTCCGGTCAAACAAAAAGAACGAAAGCCAACCGGCTCTTGCTTCCAGATCGGCCAGATCGCTTGCAGTTGAAGCAGTTGAAGGTTGAAGCAAAAACGAAACCAACTGCAATGTCACGTGTTCACATCGAAGACACGCTTTTTATATCCATTTTAACTGTTTTGAACGAATAATTGGACCCATGACTTTATTTGTGGTGTGTAAGAAACTATTATCAAGAGCCCTAAACTAAATGTAAACATGGGCGACATGAGGGAAGCCGCATTGCCATCGACCAGAAAATGGCGGCGAGCCACGGTAAGCGCGGGTTTCGCCAACGTCCCGCGACATGGCGTAATTGCTTTTGGTGCTTATCTGTTTCCGAGACATGTTTCTTTCCGCGGCATTTGTCTCGACGGTCCTTTCTAAGTGTGTCCCCAAGCATTCCGGTGCTTCGATAGCCGGCAATGCCGCGGTCGTCGCCGGAGGCGATGCGTGTTATCGAGGTCGGCTACACGGTTATGCGTGTATGACCGAACCAAAACACGTTTTTTACAACCTCGCATGATATCTGAACGTATTATCCGTTACTCATCGTGTAAATTTATGGTAATTTGTGTAAATAGCGTGTTTTTCACCCCAAATATTCACCAAATACACGGCACTTGCTAACAGTGTAGAGCCCGTCGATACAGCCCAAAGATGGAGAACGGCAAACTCCCGGTTTGTCGTCTGCTAGCGGAGTCGGGCGCGTGCCCTCTCTCTCGTTTTACCCCGCCGAACCCGCTGAACTTCCCGGATGTGTGGAGAGGGCGCTGCGGTCGAACAAAATGGTGCCGCCCAGAGAGCGCTAAATGGAATGGTCTATACACTCGACGGGCTTGGGCGGAAACTTCCGTCCAGAAAGAGAGCGTGATGTGTGTGGCCTCCCGGGACGAAGAGGAGCAGCAGCAATCCGATCGTGCACCACGTTGGAAGCGCCAGTTCACGTGGGTGTCCTATTGCCCCCGCCCGATTGGACCGATCTCCGTTCGCTCACCCACCGAGAAACCAGGCGACACCCGCGACCATGAGGAAGGGTTTCGTAAATACGGTTCTCTCAGTGGGCTGCCTGCTGCGTTGGCCTCTCAGGTTGTGGCGACCGCGGTTGTGTTGTCGGTCTGTCCCGATGATGCAGGTCTGGGTCCGCGATGAAGAATTTATCCTGGGTCGAGCGCGCTGTCGCTGCTTCCGCTCTTGAGCTCCGCCGGATTCAGCTGCCACCGCCAGAGCCGTCATGTGCCGCCCTTTTCGTTTTTTAGAGCGCAGCTCTTAGGGGCCCGTTTCCGGCTTGAGCGGCGTCGGCGTCGGTGTCGGCGTAACCGCGCGGTGCATAGTGGGTAAATTTCCCCGCTAAATCTAGCGGAAAAATTCCCCGCTAAATCTAGCGGTGAAAGTTCCCCGCTAAATCTAGCGGAAAAATTTCCCCGCTAAATCTAGCGGAAATATTTTCCCGCTAAATCTAGCGGAAAAAATTCCCCGCTAAATCTAGCGAAAAAAATTCCGCGCTAAATCTAGCGGAAAAATTTCCCCGCCAGATATAGCGGGAAAAAGTCCCCGCTAAATCTAGCGGAAAAATTTTTCTGGGGTGTCACGTGACCCCCCAAGGTCACATGACCCCCCCGCCCCGAGAACACGTGACCCTCAGTACCCTTCCCTCCTCCTCCTCAAGAGCTGCGCTCCAATTCGGTGTTACAGGGAGTTGTAAACGGCTTTCATTTTTTCTCCCTCGCTCCTCACCGTGTCCCTCTCTTCTTCTTCGTCCCCTACAACTATAATGCTCCAAAATTGGGTGAGGTGAAATTCGATGAAACACCGTTAATGGATTCGATGAAACGGAGTTCGATGAATCGGTGTTCGAAGAAAGGCGTCCGATAAAATTTCCGGTACCCTCATTTTTTAAATCAACTGAGGTTTACTTACTGAAATTCACGGGAAAATTGATTTCATGCATAACCAAACGCAAATTCAGGTTTCCAGCCACATTTAGCGCGGGACAAACGGTTCCCTCAATTTTAGCTGTTGAGCCGTGACGGACGGACGCGCGTGATGTCACGGTTTGATTGTCCTAGGTCTACAAATTTCGAAAAAAAGGTATATGGTTTTGTCCAGGACACATAAACTCCGAACTTTCGGCAGAAACTGCAGTCCGAAAACCACCTTCCGAATTTGGCGAAAAAAAAGACTCGGAAAATATCGAAACCTAATTGTACCCCTGTTCGGTTCATGAAGAATGGGCGCAAGAACGGCGCCGCGCTGAGGCCGTCCGTAAGCACCGAGATTGACGGACGTGACGTCTCAAGAAGTGCAAACGGTTACAATGAAATCACATTACATCTTCTTTGCCAGTGACCAAATACAAAAAAGCTTTTTGTAAATGAAATTTCATGCCATCGGGTTGTGATCCCACCCGGCCTTCTCACTAACTGAGCTGAATAAACCAAAAAGCTATTGAATGTTGTTTTACGCGCATCACGATTGGCTACTCTTATGGGAACTCTGAGAGTGAAGTTCAACCTCCTAACGTATTTCAATTATGAAATCATCACCGCATGCCCTCAACCTCGTTCAGTGCTTGCACAGGTAAAAAAAAAAAGCGCACCTTGATTTGTACTGCCCTTTCAGGTGTAAACTTAACGGGGGAATATTGCTACCCTTATGTCTACACCGATACAAAATGCGCCGTCGTGTTGATGAGTCATTGGAACGATGGTAAGCATTTCATATCCGGACAGGGTTTATATTTAGCAGCAGCTAATACTTCTTCGGTGTGGTCGATCAATTCATGACACTTTTGTTTGTTTTTCTTTATTGTTGTCCTCAACCGAAATACACAAACCGGCTAGAGCGTTGTTAAAAAAAAACAGAACACAGCTACCCCACCGTCGTCGCCGGTCATACATTCTATTCCTTATTTTCAGTCAGTCAATAAATGTTTTATTAATAAGTAGGTGGCGCCTTGTGTAGACTAAATCGGGACTTGATCCCCACCCCTGCATCTTCCGATTGGGATGGGCATCGTACCGGCGTGCGAATGTGTATCACGGCTGTGTGATGTTCGCTCAAGTCCTCCCGTGTACTCCACTGACTGAGTTTCTCATATACATAACGCTGCCTAAGCATCTGACTAATTTTATTCGTGACTTTAACACTGGGGAAGACAAAAACCTGTCCTATCAGTTAATACTCAGCCCTTAGTAAGAAAAAGAAAACGCAATAAGAGTGAAACCAACTGTATTGTTGAAGTCCGGCGTTCGGTTAATAAAATGTACGGCATAAATTGTTTCGTGATATGACCCATCTGATGAGCGTAATTAAATGTAAATGTTAAAAAAGAATAATACAAGCTGGGACAACAACAGACATAAACTAAGTAAAAGCTCATACAATCCTTTGAACATGGCTGTTTCGTCTTCCTGTTTTGGCTGTTTCGTGTTCCTGTTTAAGTTATCTTAAATTTACTTTCAACATATTTTCTTAGAAGAATTGTTGATTTATATGGGCTAAAATTTATGATGCGCTGAGCGCCATTTAAACACAAATAGTTTCTTTCGTTTTATAAGCTGGAAATGTGTGATCATATTACCTGCCCGGGTTTTATTGCGTTTTACTTACATATTGTCCTTTCTTATTCAAGCCGCCAAGAAACAGTGCAAAAATAATTCCCCAGCTCACAAGCCCAAAACTGGTAAACTGGATTTTTCTTTGTTTTTTTTTTTATTTACAGTTCTTGTTTGTTACGTCAATGTGACATGTAACAATGTTTAAAAAACGCACAGCTTTAAACAGCAAACATTAGTGCTAAAAGCGCCCATTAGCCGTGCTTTTTGTTATTTCTAACAGACACTTTACTACTGCACATGATTCATAAAAGAAGGTTCTACCTCGATGTAGAGAGTTCGAAACAATTATCCACCAACATGTTGTTTTTCAAGAATCAAGGTAAAAAAAAAGCTTTTAGCTAGTGTTTACAAAAAATCATTAACTAATATAACATTAGAGTGCCGGGTCGCAAAAAAGTGAATAAAAGCAAAACCCCCCCTGTTGTTGTTGTTGTTGTTTTGAGGCATCAGAGTGAAGAAAAAAAAACACAATGTCACATCCACATTTGGCTACCTTGAAAGGTATACGGAGAAAAGATACATAAATAAGTGTACGGGATACATGCCGGTAAAAAAAGAAAAAACTGGAGTGAACAAACATTTAACAACTTGTTATCTTACTGGAATCAGCTGGAACAAAAATACGGTCGTTTTTTGTGATTTGGTTAGATGGAAGCTAGAAATAAACAAATAAAATAGCCATGTGCCAGGTCTTAAAAGAGTAGACTGACACACAGATAAACCAGGGTATAGTTTCTCCGGTATCAATTTTCAAAGAAATTGATTCCAGAGAACATGTCTACGCTGAATTGTACAAAAATTCAGAAATTAAGTCAGCGTTTTTATGTCACGATAAATAAAGACGATATCCCACCCTTGTGACGTTTTCTTTGAATGAGTACAGATCGAAAAACATTTGTTCGAACGTTTCATAAACATCTGACTAATCTTATTTATCACTTTAACACTGGGGAAGACAAACACCTGTCCAATCAGTTAATACTTAGCCATTAGTAAGAGAAAGGAAAAGATATAAATAGTGAAAACAACTGTATTGTCGAAGTCCGGCGGTCGGTGACAAAGAATGTATGGCATGGACTGTTTCGTGATATCAACCATCTGAGGAGCGTAATTAAATGTACATTTAAAATTTACAAGCAAAGATAATTCTAATTTCAAAATCACAAAATTGTGTGCCGTGTCAACAAACAGCAGATCAAGACCAAAAACAAAGAAAGGTGTTACTCAGCTGGAGTATGCCCGACAAAAACTCAGCTACCATGAAATTAAAATAACTATGCGTAGAATAACATTTATGACCAGATAGTATTATGAAATACATAATCTTAATGCTATACAACTCGCGTATATTGGAAACATTAAGCCCCAGGACAAAACAAGGACGCCTGTAGATGCAAATGATGCTGTTGGTCAGCGTTTTAGGCTCTTGGTTGGCTTCCATCTTACGACACCGCAGTTCTAATGTTTCTTAAAGTGCTAATTTATTTTCTCACAGTAGAATAAAATATCTTTCCCCATGTGTGTGTGTGTGTGTGTGTGTGTGTGTGTGTGTGTGTGTGTGTGTGTGTGTGTGTGTGTGTGTGCGTGTGTGTGTGTTTGTTTGTGTGTGTGTGTGTGTGTTCATATAGTATTTTGACAGAAATTAGAGTGTGAGATAGGGTGATTTAATGTTTCAAGTTTGATGGCTCTGAAACGATCTCTGTAAAAAAAAAGGCCATTATATATAAAAAAAACTTTTCTACCAACAAATTTTTAACACTTTAACTCGAAAAGCGTGTTTTATTACTACTTGCATTCCACTTGATATTAAAGAACTTCCAAAGATAACGTGGATATACGGGGGTGATAGGGCTCATTCATTATACCTATGGGTAACCAAACTCTAGATCCGTCTCTTTTTTTTTTTAATCCTTGACTGTTTAGTGTATATTACGAATATAACCCTGTTCAATATTTTTTCAGGTGAAAACATGCCCTGCCAAACAGCTTGCGAAATGTGGGTGAGGCATAAAAATCTAAACGAAACTTCTCTAAATAAGAACTGCACCAAATATTACAAACAATTTTGCGGTGACCGCAAAATATTTCTCTACGACAAGCTAATTTGTGATAGAGTCGAAAAACTTCCAATTAACATAACGAAATCTATATCTGAAGATCAATAAAACTGGCATTCAAATGTTGCAGGCTATTTTGTTTTAAATGCGTCACGATTAATATCATGAGAATGATAGCATGATAGAATAATAGCATGAGAAAAGTTAGTTCAGATTCTTAACTAAAACATGCATTTCGTTTAAAGGTATTAGGCGCTGAGGAAAATCAGCTATTTGCGCTAAGTCCTTATTTCCAACCTTTTTTGTTCACGTACCACCAATTGAAAAGCACACCGAAGAAAATTAAGCACCCACCTGATCCCGCCACACCCGCCGTTTCCTTCCGCACGATAAAGCCCATCTGATGTGGTCATTGTCACCATGGCAATAAAGCCCCTTCTGAATAGACGCACACGCTAACGTAGTCTGAAACCAGCAACAACAGACGCCCTTTCTCAAACACCGCCGCGTTTGTAACTATAGCATCAACGTGGTAGTGGTCTGGCGTAGTGATCTCTACTCTGAGGAAACTCAACGACGGTATCCGTTTCTAATTTTTACGAACCCTCTACCTCCTACCCTACCGACGCTTCCCAAGATAAAATTACAGCCACCGTAAAGCTCCTAATCGAAGCCCCCCCCCCCCCCCCCCCCCCCCCCCCCGCTGCAAATCGCCTAATCGTTCGTCATCCGGCGCGCCGCCCTCATTCTACCTCCTTCCCAAAATTCACAAAGCTGGATCCCCTGGCCGACCTATTGTTTCCGCCATATTCTGCCCCACTTCATCTCCGCTTTTGTGGATTCTGTCCTACAGCCTAGTGTACAAAACCTGGCCAGTTGCGTTAAACATACAACAGATATCCTCCAACGCCTGTCTAATCTTTCCCCGACCCCCGACACTATCCTCTTCACAATGGACGCCGGTGCACCACAAAAGAAGGTGGAAAG